GACGTTTTCAAGAAATTTTAGGCAATGGCCTCTTCCTTCTCCAATCATGCAGGAGCAAGAATCAAAAAGAGACCTGTGAAACACTTGCTACCCACTGCTCTCCGATTCTCGCTGCTGGGTTAGTTTGTTTATTTTGGAAAAGCACTAGTGCAGTAAGGACTGCTGACAAATCAAAAAGATGCTTTAAAAGATTAAGGTGAAGAGACTGCAGCTGAAATAAAGATTTCAGAATATATGCTTATTGGAAGTTAAGTATTTTGCCCACATGATGCTTGGAGTACTGCCTGATCTCTCAGTATTAATAGCCCTTTGCACAGAACATTCCTTGCTATCTTCAAAAAATAAACTAATACCTTCTCATCTCAAGGTCAGTGGAAAACAAGGATAGCAAGACATTGATTTGATGAACATGCAAATATGTGATTTTTTTAAATGAATAGGTAACTGATGTCATGTTTTAAAGTTGACAGCTTGATACTAATCAGAACTCTCCCTCATCATTCATGGTAAATAAGCAGAATGACACATCAAATTTAACAATCCAGAGCCATAACTTTTCATCAGAAGTCTGTTCAACACCATTACATCTAGATGTGCTGCCAAATGTCAAAGGAGGAAAGTAAGAAAGTAATTTTGCCTTTTTACACATGGTTAATCTAAATCTCTAAATTGGAAGTTGCCATGAAAATTACTCAGAGTATCTAATTGAAAACATTTTTAATTTCAACTCTTAAAAAAAAAAAAAGCCACAGCTGCAACAAAGTATGGCAATATTAATGAAAGCATACCTGGCACTCATTCAAATCTCTGCCTTCCTCAGTGCTGTGAAAAGAAAAATCACTCCCCAATGGAAATTCACCATTTTCACAGAAGTAGAATTACTCTTCTCTGTAAAAATGAGCTTTCATCATTTGCATTAAATGTAATTAAATAATGTAATTACATTGTTGCAGTAACTAGTGTATCTCTGCATGCTATTTGGCTCCAGGAATGCTCAGTACATATTTAAAATCCAGATTGAAAAGAACTGTATTCATAGCAGAATTCTGCAATGTCAAATAAGGCTAAAATGTTTGTTCAGGTTTTAAACAAACTTCACAAAATAAGAGGAGTAGAGATACATGAAAACAAGTAAGCAGATGTAATTGTGACATATTACAGAATGGGAAGCAAAATATTTAAAAATCTTCAAACAAACAGGTAACAATATGTCCTTATGAAGGACACTGAATCAAAAATAAATCACAACACAAGAAAGAGAAGACAAAAAAATCTGTAAGTGATCTCTCCTACAAAGAGGGATAAATTTTTTTCCAGTGAATAAATGCCTTTGCTGACTTTTACACAGAATTTAAACTTAATAGCAATACGAAATGTTGTTATTGATTCTTTTTTTGCTATATTTAATGATGAAATAGCAATTAAGATGTGTTTGGTACTGCAAGAGAGAGAGGCCTTATTTGTAATAGTAATAACTAGAGCCAAACATCATGGAAGTCAATGGAAGGATACCTATTGTTTGAAATGGCAGGCAGGTAATTTAGAGCCCAACCTCCAAGTGTACCTACCTGGTCTACAGATGCTGACAGGCAAGCACTGTGTTACCACTGGTAGTATTCCAGTTCAAACTAAACCCTTACAGAGTGGAGTGCCAAGGATGCTTTATCTTGAGTTGATCTGTTCAACTTTAATTCATGACAGTTTCCACAGATATCTTTTATTGGTTACTTAGGCATTTTGCCAACAACCAAAGGATTTAAAAAAGATACACTACATGTGAGTCATTTGCAAGCTACAGTATCTGAAAACTTTTACCTGTAGGTGAAATATGGGCAGGAACTGAGAAGAAAATTTTTGTCTGGAGAATTGTGCATGGTGCATTCTGCAGTCACTTCCTCACTGGAAGGGCACCCATCTCCTTAAAGTCTCACAGCACCCAGAAGTATTGCTAGTAACACTTGGAAGGGAACAGAAACACCCTTTTATCCTACCAATGTGTCACTTCTGTGCCTTGAGGTTATTTAAGAAAAAATTACAGTGATTCTGGCAACTTTCCTCCTTACTGTGTGGAGACGCACTTTCAGTAGAGTTATTTTGTTAGTTATTAGACTATCAAAAAAGAAACTTAAAAAAGCCCTGTACCTATTCAGTTCCATCCTGAATGAAACTTGTCCCACCATCTTCAATCAGGAGCAAGTGTAGGAAAGCCACATCTGTACATGTGGAAGGAAGCCACATTCCCTTAGTGAGCTGCCCCAACCAAGCTCACTCACAGTCCTTAATTAACACCCCTCCATCCTATTGCATCTCAGATCTATTTGCACTTCTCTTCTTTCAAACTAGATGAAGCAAAAAACCATGTAGCCAGAGGACTAGCAGCAATCACCCTGCAGAGATTCAAAAGCAGCCAATGGCTCCTTCATACAGACAAACTTAGCTTAACTAGCAAAATACGCTGTTCCAGTATATCTGCCCACAAGTAGCTCACCAGGCTGATGTTCTATTCCAGAACAAAAATTACTGGCTTTTTACTCCACACTCTGATAATTATTCTGGAATTTAATGAGTTTTTATTCCAGAGCAGAGTTGCCCATCAGGGAACCATTGCAGCACAGATAACTGCATCAGAATAAGCTGTGGCAGTGTATGAAAGAGAATTTCCCAGCGCAGAAAGCCCAGCATCTCAGAATCGCCGAGATGTTATCTCTGACCTACTTTGCTCAAAGTACCATAGAGATATCTCCACACAGGCATCCAATTATTTGTTGAAATCAACAAGTACTTTTGTGCCACATAGAATTAGTACAAGCTAAAAAAGAGAGTAGAGCAGGATGATAGGTGGAAAGAAGTGTTCTTTCTGTAGCATTTGCAGCACAGGAATTGATTTCACAAACATGCTCATCCAAGCAATGTAGTTCATTCAGTAGACCATCAACTCCCATCAAAGAGTCATTCTTAACTTAAAATCAGCATGCCCATAACAGCAACAAATGAACGGAAAAGAGCAGAATAGTTCTTTAGAAACAGCCCAGCTGTCTCATGCATCCGACACTGCCACATACAAATGTTATCATTGAAGGGGAAGAAAATGCCAGCCCTGAAGCTGAACACCATAGTTAGAAATGGTCACCAAAACCTAACTATGTACCATGCAAACGGGGTAACTTGAGACACTAAGCACATTCCCAGAGAAGACCATGCCGAAAAAGGACACTTCTGGAGTTCTTATAATATTTTCAAAAGCAACATGCCTAACAAAGGATTTTACAAGGCAATAAAACACTCCACTAGGTAATTAAATTTTCCTAAGCCAGCTTTTGCTAGCTGCATGCTTTATTACAAGGAGAGCTATCCCAAGGGATTAACAAACTTTGTGTTGAATGTGACAAACTTTACTATATTTTTCTGGTCTTCTGAAACCTTGTAAAATATTGCAAGGGTTTGAGAGACAAATTTAGAACAAGCTGATTTAAGAAGAATAAGTTCCTAGGTATTCCAGTAAATGGTGTGGTATAATATTACAGGAAGGGTCACTTTTACCTCAAGAGCACAGTAAATCTCACAGTCAGGAAGTCCACCCTGGTGCAAAATTTAGCTCAGTTAGTGCAGTTTTGAAATTTGCTACCTTTTAGGGGATGATAATGTCTCTTTCTCTGATTTGTGAAAATTAAAACCTTGATCAACTGATGATACAGGAAGTTTAGTAAACCACAGCACCTCTGTACCATAAGATACTACTTCTTAGAGTAGCTCTGTACCTTTGATAAACTACTGAGTGAAAGAGGAAAAATTTCTGATTTGTCTGATTAAAAAATAAACAAATTAGAACTTTGTGCTAAATTAAATTCTTAGGTTGGACTGGAAAGAAACTTCATTTAATCTTTAAAAATTACATCCCAGACCCTGAGAAACAGTAAAAAGAAGGTAATATTACTAATGATTTTAATATTTATTAGAAAAACATAATTAAAATAATACTTTTGGGAAAAAATAATTCTCCTTCTGAAATCACTTATGGTATCCTATCTACTAGCAGAAACAAGATAAAAAAGACCCGTTATTACCAAAACCGTAACATTTAAACAGTGCAATTTCCAGGTTTTAACAACAAATTCTGTAGCTGTAACCAACCAAAAATTTCCATCAATTGCTAACCGGGGGGAAAGACTCTGAAACCTGAACTTCTCAGAGCATGATTAGTTACTTAGTCCACTAAATACTAACCTTCTCCTTGTTGAAAGATATGACCACCAACTGAAAACGAAACAACAGGGCAGACAAAAAGCACAGTACATGCAGTATATTGATAGAGATCCTGAGGAAAAGTATGCACATAACCTCTTCAGGGGGCCAAAAAGCATGGGCTATATAAGCACAGAACTAAATAATGTCTGGTTTCCTTAGGATTTATTTCTGATTATTAAAGTCTTTGAAGTCTAACAATACAAAAATGGCTTTAAAATTTTTTCCCTCTGTCCCTACTGGATTCTGTAATCTTTAATAAGAAAATGGATACATTGTTCAAGCTTGAAATGTTCTTCTGTACCTACTTGCCTATTTTAATGAACCTTGCAGAAATACAGCATCTTTGAAATTATTATATTCAGTCTTAGCTGAAATTAGTTGACAGGCTTCAAATTTATCATTAACACTGTCAGGCTTAAGCAAAGTTATGTACAGAGGAATACACAGAGTGGAACCCATTAGTTTTACTTCAGCAGGCACCAAGACTGAAAACACTTAGAAGAGTCACGGCAGAAGGGACAACCCACTCTTCCTTCCCCACAGCACTGAAAGGGCAGCTAGTTACCTTGCTCCTTCCTGTTAGGCTAGAAATGCAAGTTCTGATGTTTTTATCCCCAAACACAAGTGAAGGATATCAATTATTTACTAAAATATGCAAAACAAGAAGCTTTCTTCTCAGTAGCATAAAATTAACAGGGAGAGCATTATGCTATGACTCGCAGTAAACACACATGCTACAGACGACATTCTTATACCCTGATATATTGTGCTGCTGTTGCTGTTAAGATACGACTCAACCAACGGCGCCTGTTCCTCCGAATGTTTCGTCCTGCGCGTCCTCGTCCGACTGTCCACATTGGACTGGACCATTAGTGGCTCCTGGCGCTTTTTTTTCTGCTTCTGCTCTAGCAGTGCCCGCTGGAGAAAACACAAAGAAAAGCATCTGTTACTGGACTCCAAACGGTAGCAACCTACAATGAAAAACAGTGGATATCTTTACACCTTCTCCGGTCTTACAGCGGTAGCAGTTGGCGAGTGGGATATTGGGATATTGGGTAACAGGAAATCTTTCCAAAAAACCACAACTAACCCACTGCTAAAACAGCTTCTGCTGAAAACAGCAAATAATTAGAATAGATCTTTCTGAGCAGTCCAGCAGCTGTTAGAGCTTGCTTGGAAATAACCCTTGGGAAAACAACAGTGTGAGAATACTGGCTGTGAAGCAATGGGAGGGTAAGCAAGGGCATAAGGCAGAGATGCCAATTTCAGTTTCTGTAAATTAAAAGCAGGTGATTGCAAACTAGAATCAAGTGATAATACTGGACATGAGCCTAATTTAACAACTACAAAAGATGAACTTTAATTAAACACACACATTTCTCAGCTAGACCTGCTGAAAACCAAAACCTTCAGCATTCAGTGGCATCATAGGTAGCTCTCTTTGAGTCCTCTTCCACAACCTTACATAACTGAACTGTTAATTTTACTTATCCATTACCTTACCATTTGCTTGCTCCTGTACAGTGATAGTTTAGCTTGTAGAAAGGAGATGCACTAAAACTGAAGAATAAGAATGGAGAGTGGACTCTTTCAGCTCCATAAGTTATGTTGAACACCTCAACATGACTCCAAAGTAATCAGAATCAAGTATAGGATTATGGTATAAATAGAAAGTATTTGAATTTGAAAATGAGATGCTGGTAGACACGCAAGCTGCTAAAACAATGGAAAAAGAAATGTATAGAAAAGGATAAAATTAAATGCACAACATTTAACTATAAATATGACAAAGTTTTTTGAGAAGGGGACAACGAAAATCAAAGTAAAAGCAGAAACCTCAACTCCCATTAAAACTTGATGGCAGAATTCCCTCAGATTTCATGGAAGAGGTTCTGATTCTCTTTCTTGTAAAACTCATGTAGTAATACAGTAGCAAAATAGGCAACACAGTGCATAGTGGCACTAGGTTACAGCCACAAGGGCTAGACTCACAGAATGAAAAGCAAAGTATGTAAAAACTTTGTGGTTAACCTCTGTTGGCTGGCATGGCTGCCAGAACCTTCTGTCCTTTCTGGTCCATCAGTGGGGTAACAAATACATGGTAAGTCAGCTTAAAATGAGTCCAAGGCAGTGGAAATGAGAGTCACTCAAACCACAGTCATAAGTTAAATTTTAAAGGCAATTAGACTCCTAAATAAACTGTAACCTCCACAGATCTCTCTGTTGCATTTCCCCACTCAGAGGATGCAACTTCCTATCAATTACCAGATATGTGTCAGTGACTCCATTACTCCAAGATCTATACTTCAGAGAGCAAGAAGGTCCTCCTCCAAAATCTTACCTGCCTGTCAAGCTTCTGCTGACGCAGGCTGCTCCCCTCATCATCCAGAACACTGCAAAGACAAAGGGCACGTAATTGGAACAAATTTATCACTCAAAACAATGCTTAACAGCAGTCACTGGAGCAAACCCTTCCAGGAGTTATCCATACAAAACTCCCACTATGTTCCATGGAAGTTTGCCTGCCCTAACCTGCAAAAGTTGGCTCCAGAGGATCCAAATGCAGTCCATGAAAAACTGAAAAACTCTGACTCACACAAACTTCAACAAAACTATATATTCAGGCAGTTCAAAAAGAAATAAAAAAAATCCACGGTCTACACCTTGGATTCTTCTCCACTGTCTTCTTATATAAAACATCAATGTATACAGCAATGAGGTTTGATTGAAAATTTGCATATAAAGCATAGAAAAAGTGAGAAGCGTAAGAGAGCTGCTTAGCAACTCAGCAACATTTAAAATTACATTAGGAAAATTAACTGTCTAATCTTTTGCACACTGAAAACTATAATTTATTCCTGAATATCTGAAAAGTCACACTTACTGCCACACACTTCAACATTTAGAGGCTGGCAAGATAAACATCATTGCTCACTGCCATATTTCTTTCTGCTAATTGTTGCTAGTTGGGAGATTAGCTCCTGTGCATTCAATCATTTTCATTAATTAGATGTTAAAGACTGGCATTGAAATCAGAAAGCTATTTTTTGTGAAGTATTTTATCAAACTACTGACTACACTTTATTTTTCAGGAGAACAAAGGTCTCTATTGTAAGAACACTATGGTTAAACATTGAACATAGATAATTAAATCTTTTAAACAGTAATATGTCATCTACAAGGAAAATAGTGCTATAGAACAAAAACAATAGCCTCTTACAAGTAGAGTTCATTTTCTCTTACAATACATTTTTACAAAAGGTTAGTCCCTTCTCTTATAATCACTCTTAACAATCAAAAAGAAAATTAAAATCCAGGACAAACAAACCTGGATTCTGACCTACATGCAACCCAACTGTATTGCAATAAAAATTTCATAAACAATGTGAATCCCACGTATTAATATACACTCTTTAGGAGCCAGTAACATTACAGTAGGGTTGATAGGACAGTTAATAAAGGCATGCAGAATGCCACCTTTCCAATGTCAGCATTATCAGAGACATGTAATTAAGCATTCCTGGTAGCATCAGCCTTTTGCAACTTATACTTGGGTTATTTGTTACCAAAGGCTGATGTTCCACAGAATGAAACTATGCTGTTCAAGTACCTCAGGTATGAAATTACAGTCTCTTGCAGAGGTAATGCATTACCTGCAGTCCACAAAAAAAAAATTGAAGAAAAAACCCTTCACACTCACAAACATGTTCTGATTAACGTCAAGCATTCTTAACTTGATAAATTACAGAACCAAGTTATTAAAAGAAGACATACATTCCTCCATGGTATACAGTATCAGGTTTTTACAAGAGTGCTTCACTACAACTGCAATACTTATTAGCTGCACTGCTAGAAAATAAAACTACCCTAATGGATACCTTTGGCCAAACAATTGCGTAAAAGATGCCCAAGTATAAAGTTTCAGGCTTAATGGCCTGAACAAATCCTTCTCATTTCAGACAATGCTTGATAAAAAGCCAAACCCATGTAATGATGCTAATAAAGAACATAAGAACTGCAGAGGCAGCAATGCATATACCATCCTGGCATAACACATGGAATAAGGGAGCAGGGAAATGTTCTTTCTGTGGTTCTAAACCTTACCTGTGACTCCCTGGGAAGCCACAACAAGGTAAATTCAGGTTCAGGTAAACAGGCACAGCTCCTTCAATTCTCTTTATGCCCAACCTTGGCATGGTAAATGTGGCGGTTTAAATAACACAAAAGCAAACCCCAATCAGGGGAATGGTGTGATTTGCATTGATTCAGCATTCCACGAATGCAAAGCAACTATCAGATACAACAGAGGACTGCCAAAAAAGAATAAAACTCCATCCAAACACTATGGATGCCGTGACGCTATAACACCTCTCCACCTGCCCTTCTACTGCAAGATACTGTTTTTAAAGCCTCTGAATATGTGCAATCAAAGCTGAGACTAAGATCAGCATGCTTTGAAAACCAGATGACAAGCTCATCTGGAACTTCCAGGTCCTTCATTCTCCCACTTCATGTTTTATAAAGTTCTGGGTAGTTTTCACAATCCTGTTGTAAATATGCATTAATGACAAGCCTTGCATTATTTAAGCTTAACATCCAACAACTAAAATGGAACTCCAGCTTTCTTCAATGACACCGAGGTTCAACAGAATAGTTACTTCAACAATCCTCTCCCTCTCCAGGTTACTGGACTTGTATGAGCATGCCTTGCTCCCCCCAGCCAGCCACACTACTCTTCCAAATCCTTCACAGTGTAATTTTAAAAAGGCCTCATTACCACTAACTTTGTCTATTTTAGAAGTTACTCAATGCCAGTATCACCGAAAAGCTGTAATTCTGTCCTTTTCTGATGCCTGAATAATGCTTATGCAACTCCAAATACAAAGAGGATTCAATTTAGTCTATATATTCTTCTGTTATAATAACACAGCACTCCAGTTTGAGACTGTATAATTTGTCAATATTTTCTGCAGAAGTAGTGGACCTTGGAGTTGCTGATTAGCAGCCAACATTTCACTTTCCCTGATTTTCAATAGAAAAACTCTCCTAAGAGTGGGTGACGTCCAAGATATGCCATTAAGGAACATCAGGGCTTAAATACATGCATAAATAAATAAGTGAGTAAATAAATAATATAAGCTCTGTTTCCGTAGCAATTCCATCAGGTTCTCACTCTTACTGCCTTGAAAAACATCTGCAGAAGAATCTGAGATGGAAGTGTGCAAGCACCACTGACCCTTTTTCTCACACTTCAGTGAATCCTTGCAGAAAGATTTAGCAGATCATCTTACCACAGCATCTGGCAGTCCATACATTCTGTCAGATGCTCCAGGGCCTAAGAACTGAAATCCAAAAAACCTACCCTTTTCTTTCATTGGAAAACACAAAACTGTAGGAGCAGACGCACAGCCTTTGCCCCTCCCAGTCTTTCAAAAAAGCAGAATTCAGCTGCTCATCCCCATGGAAGAGTTGTGCACATGGTGAGGACCCAGCCTGTCCTGCCCAGTTTTGGAAGTGGCCATAGTTTTGCTGCTCTGTGGTCCAAATAACTGGGATGGTCAGAGAGTAAAGTCCCAGTACAGAGGAAAAACTGACTAGAAATGGCAGGAAAGATGGCAGGAAATAATCTCATAGAGAGGCTGTTAGAACAATTCTGCCTACATGTTTGATGTGATGCTAGAAAATCCCAGGAGCAGCATGAAACTCTGTCAGTCTTAATAGAGAAATATAACTTTATAATTCATGAAAATTGAATTATTGAAGAGCATGCATACATATTAGCAATCTGCACAGCACACTGAAGTATCCTGAAGATCCAGTAAGGTTCATTTTTACTCCTCTTTGATCAAGTACCGTGGCTGGCACCTTGGCTACGGCTTTGACCCATTTAAAACAGAAAGTCATTTTACACTATATATAATATTGTAAACAGCACGTCAGCTCTGCAGTAATAGTCTAGTCCAAATCCAGTTGACAAATCAGAGCTTGGATATATTTCCTCGCAGATAATTATTCAGGGAAAATCCATCCATCTATCTATACCAAACTTGAACAATCCATCCATTAGAGTTTACTGGATGTTGGGCTTAATAGCTCTGTATGGTAAAGATTCAAATTAGCCGCCTGGACCAAGGCACACAGAGACTTAAGCATTATATTTAGATACTATTATTTTCAAATTTTAAATACAGCACCTCATTCAAATATCCCCACCTCCTGTTTTCTAAAAGGAAATACATTAAATGAACATTCACCTTTGTGTCAAAGTATTACTTTTCATACCACCTTTTTAAGATACAAAATCTATTTTACTGAAACAGTTTCAACATTAAATTCAATCTACACAAAAATAGCCAGGCCTATTATGCTGCTGCATGTCATAACGAAGATAAAAATATACACAAAAATTTTAGTATTCTCAGCTTTTCATAATCTCTATTCCTTAGAAATCATTTAGAGAGAAACCCAAGACCTATCAGGTTTTAAGGATGAAACTTCATGATTACATGAAGCTCCACAATTAACTGCTGAGATGAAGGCAGAAGATTCTGCAAGTCAACATCTTGCTACATTTTACTGTAATTCCACACGGACTGATTTCAATTTAAGTAAAATCTGAAAAGCTTTAATTCAAATAACATATTTCACAGCAAGTACTTTTCCTTCACTCTTTGAACATGCAAATGCTTTCATTTCAGTAAGCCTTTGCAAGAAAAAAGAATTAAGAAGAAATGTTTTTAATTAGAATTTCCAAGATGCATGTAGTCTCTGATTTTATTTGATTTTGGTTTTTTTAAAAGAAAAAGTCTGACACAGTAAAGCAGCTCTATTGTTTCTGCCTGACAAAGAAGGCAATGCTTTTGTTCCTTCCTGACACTGCTTCATAAAGGAACATTTTCCATGACAATAACGTTTTTACCAGGACAAAGGTCCAAAATCTTACCTAGCACATCTCTGCAGCCCAGCACTAATTCAACCAAGAAGTATAACTGGTCACACAAGCAGACACATCCTACCACTACTTTCATACACTGTTTAAAGAAGTGTCACTTGCATTTTCTCTTTTTGCTGCTTCATGACAATACATTACTAATGGCAGAACCCAAAAGCTCTGTGTGAAATCAGGGACCTTTGCACAAGCAAAGTGAATGCACATAGTTAGGGAAAATTCCTTAGACAAACAGTTCCATTATGAAAAGATGAGGAATTTGATAAGAAAATGTTCCTCCCATTTAGAACACTGAACCAGAAGCAATGGAAAATTAAAGGAGATATTTTCGTCTCAAGTTTCTTCTGCCATATTGTCAATTGCCATTCAAAAACAAAGGATGATCAAACCAAACAGAAAGAAAAATACACCAGATCAATCTTCAAGATCACTCAGATCTTTCTG